CCCCCCCCCCCGGCCCAGGGACATCCCCCCTGATCTCGATGGCCCTGCTCCGGCACACCACTGACACCCCTGTCCGCCCTGCTGCCGGCTAAGTCGCTGTCTCGCTCGCTGGTGGGGTCCGGTGCGCCGGGCCCTGGCCAGCCGGCCCCCGGCACCGTGGCCAGCGGCGAAACGCACACCCGCACGGTTGGCTTCAATGTCATGGGCACCGGGGCCGGCGCCTTCCCCCCTGGCGGTGGCACCCCCTCGGCTGCCTCCTCCCAGTCCTCGGTGCTGCTCGGCTACCAGCAGCAGTCCAGCCTGTCAAGCTCCTTCCAGAAGACCCCCTTCGTGGTGGGGTCCCCGCCGCCGGTGCACGTGGGGTCTTTCAAGTCCACCAGCGTGTCCTCCCTGTCTGCCTCGCTGTCTTCCTCCTCGCTGACGGCCGGTGCCCCGGTGACCAGTGCTCCGGCCGGCGGCGCCCTGCCGGAGGTGACCTTCGCTCGGCAGCCCATTCCGCCCGTGGTGAAGTCTGGCTTTGCCGCCCCGGCTGTCGCCGCCACCCCGGCCGCCGCCGCCGCCGCCGCCGCCGCCGCCGCCGCCGCCGCCCCGGCTGCCAAGGCGGCCCCGGGCGGCAAGACCGCCCCTCCGCCCTCTAAGGAGAAGGTCGACCTGCAGATCGGCCCCGATGGCTTCCCCCTCAAGCCCATGAAGGAGATGACTCGCGCCGAGCGGGCCGCCTATCAGGAGTACAAGCGCGCGCAGAAGGCCGCCGGCGCCGGTGGCAAGCCCGCCCAGGCTGGCAAGGGCAAGGGCAAGGATGCCCCAGCCCCGGACACCAAGGCCGCCGCCCCGGGCAAGTCGTCCGGCAAGGCCGCTGCTCAGGACGGCACCAAGGCCGAGGCATCTGCCGCCGCCACGCACAATGACAAGGTGCGCGCCTTACCATGCCATCCCTTGCCTGACCTGCCCCTCGGGTTCCCCGGCGTCCTGACCACTTGCTCTCTCTCTCTCTCCCTCTCTCTCTCTCTCCCTCCATCCATGCAGAAGACCCAGCTTCACTTTTTCTCCCACATGGTGGAAACTGCTCCGGCGCCGTCCGTCAGCCACGAAATGATTCTCAACTCAACGCGTGCGTATCTCCCCCATCGGCCTTGGCATGCTGCCCTCTGCCAGTGCCTCTCACCCCCACTCCCGGTGTCCTGCATGCCTATAAAGCCATCCACCCGGCGATCATCGAGCTTGGACAGCTCTTCCACTCCGATGACATCGGCACCAATGGCGCCATTTCGCGTCTGGTTGCCACCATGGTTGCCCTTAAATGCGTGCGTTGCCGAATGCCACCACCCGTGTCACACCCAGCCACCTTCCCTCGACAGCCTCTCCCAGGGCTAACATGCCTCCTCCCTCGGCCCCTCCACCCCGCTCCGACACGCAGGCCCTCCTGGACTA